TTTTTCGCAACTTCTTTTAAAACCTGAAGTCATCCAGAATGCTCCTGCCCGCCCATTAACTAGCACCAAAAAGTTCCACTAACTCACACCATCACTGATCCATACCGGTCCTGCCTTCGTTTTAGAAATTGCCCATCCTCATATCCAAATCGTTCCAAGGCCTTTAAGCCTTCCCCATCTCCGTGACACCCTCCAGACCAAGAATGCCACTGGACTGGTATTCCTGAGGCCCAGGCTAAGGGACGCAGGTTCAAACCCCACCTCAGTAGCTGGTGGAAAATTAAATTCAATTAATAAACCATGAAAACAAGTCACACCAATGGCTATCACCATGGTTATTCATTATTATATTTTAGGGAAAAGAAATCTGACATCCTTCTGTCATAACAAGAAGTTTTGAGAGACAGTGCCTTTTTTCAATGATATTCATATCCTGCATTTCTCCAGTTCTGACCTCTTACACATCCCTCACTCCCTTCAGCTCATCACAGGGTGTACAATAACACAGTGCTTATGTGCTGGAGTAGTAAATCCACAGGCCTGGACTAGTGATCTGGTGACAACCCTACTATTGAGGAAACTGGTCTTGTGTAAGTCTGGCCTATAGCCCACCGGTCCTGGTCAACTCCAGTCCCACAGACCCTTAACTAACCTCTGAAACAGCCAAGCAAGAACGCTCTCTTTCTCTTCATTATTTCCTGGGATAGGGGGCAAGGATAGAATTTGTTGTCCATCCCTAATTGCCCTTGTACTGAGCTGCCCTCTGAAATGACCCAGCCACTAAGAGTCAAGCAAATTTCTGTGGGTCTGGAGTCACATGTACGCCAAATGAGATAGAGCCATACAGCATGGAAACAGACCCTTCAGTCCAACCAGTCCATGCCGACCACAATCCCAAATTAAACTAGTCCTACCTGCCTGCGCTTGGCCCATATTCCTCCAAACATTTCTCATTCATGTACTTATCTATATGCCTTTTAAGCATTGTAATTGTACCCTCATGCACCCCTTCCTCTGGAAGTTCATTCCACACATGAACCACTCTCTGTGTAAAAAAAAGTTGCCCCTCATGTCATTTTTAAATCCTTCTCCTCTCACCTTAAAAATATGCCCCCCCCAAGTCTTGAAATCTCCCACCCTAGGGAAATGACACCTGCCATTCGCCTTATCTATACCCCTCATGATTTTACAAACCTTCCACTACGAGGTCACCTCTCAACCTCCTACGCTCCAGTGAAAACAGTCTCAGCCTATCCAGCCTCTCCCTATAACTCAAACCCAGATTTCCTTCCTGAAAGGGTATCAGCGGATATGTTGGAGTCAACCTCGCACAGCTTTGGAACAGCTGGGACTTAACACTGTGTCTCTTGGCTCAGAGGCAGGGACACTACCACAGCGGCCCTCCTAAAGGACATTATTGAACAGCAATCGATGATTGTTGCCATAATAACCGTGACTGAGGTGTGAGTGGGAAGCTCCACATTAGAATTGATTGAATGCAAATTCCACCGGTTGCCATGGTGAGATCTGACACCAAATAACCAAAGCAATGGCCCAGAGCTCTGACCTTACCTGCCTCTCCATCATCTCCCTGGGTCGGAACCAGCAATAAATGCTTCCTTTCCTACATCCCACGAATGAGTGAAGAAATAGACATTTGCAGCTGTGCCTTCAAGCTGCTTAGCCCCAAGCCATGGAATTACCAACTTAATTAAACTTCTGTCGCTCCAGCTCTCTCTCCTCATCAAGTCACTCCTTAAAACATACCTCTTTGGCCAAGCTTTCAGTCACCTGATATCTTTGGAGTTGTTGACAATTATACCCTCCCACATAGCTGAGAAGAGCCTTGCGACAGCTTCTGATGCTAAATGTTTTATTTAAATGTGTGTTCATCTCTTCGTTAACCACATACTTGGCAAGCAGCACTACTTACTGTGGGGACATGTCTCGTCTGTACCCTAATCAGCCTCTCTTTGAATATTTCCAACAAATGCATCTCATTTGATAATTATTCATTCCAATCTATCTGGGAAATATTTTCTGGGCGTTGGTCGTAGCGTCCCATCCTCTGAAAGAGGAAGACAGGGTTTAAGTCCCACCTACTCCAGAGATGCGTCTGAATAGGCCAATGGAAAAAGGGAAAAAAAATTACAAAGAATGCTGGAAATCAGAAACAAAAATCAGAAATTGCTGGAAGAACTCAGCAGGTCTGGCAGCATCTGAGGAGAGAAAGCAGAGGTTAACGTTTTGGAAAGGTTCACCGGACCTGAAACGGTAACTCGGCTTTCTCTCCACAGATGCTCCAAGACTTAATTTTTAAAAAAATCTATTTTCTGGTACACTGTCTCCTCGATGCACCCTATTTGTCCCATTCTATGTATCACACCTACAACTGGCCTCTTTCATTCTCAAAATCGAATCATTCTCTGCATTAAAATGGATCTATTAGGGACAGCCCATCCCTCAAGAAGCTCAACACCATCCAGGTCAAAACAGCTCACTAGATTGCCTCCACATGCACAAACATCCACTCCTCCCACCACTGACACTCAATAGTGGCAGTATGCACTATCTATAAGACACACTGCAGAAATTCACCAAAGATCCTCAGAACTCATGACCACTTCCATCTTGAAGGACAAGGGCAGCAGATACATGAGAACACCATCTCCTGCAATTTCCCCTCTAAGCCACTCACCATCCTGACTTGAATACATCGCCGCCCCTTCAGTGTCGCTGGGTCAAAATCCTGGAATTGTGGGTCAAACTACAGCACATGGACTGCAGCGGTTCAAGAAGGCAGCTCACCACCACCTTCTCAAGGGGCAACTAGGAATGGGCAATAAATGCCCATGATTGAATCATAAGCACTTCTTTCTGTAGAGTTCTGTACATCTTGCCACAGTATTGTTAACAAAGCTCAGTATCTTTATTTCAATGTATATAAACATATTTGATTTATTAGTACTTATCAGTGTTGCCCATGTTCCAAGGTCAAATTGACTTCCCAATCCAGGTAGTTCCATGAAGGTGATGTCAACGCCCCCTCTATACTGACCTTCCTTACACAGTCTATTTGTTTGACTGTACTATATCTTTAGACTTGGTTGTGGAGTCACTTTATCTCTAAAGGGATAAATAGTGGGTTGTCCACCTAGCAGCTCTCAGATTTCAGTTTTCAGGTAACACTGTCGGGGGTGTGGCATCAATTGTTTACAACTAAATTTGTTTGCTCAGAGCACAGGACTACAGTCACATGTGTGTTCTTTAGCAACAGCATTAGTAAATGAGCTGAGGTTTTGCACAGATTGTAGAGGTCAAAGATTGGTTACAGCACAGAACGCTAATCAGCCTATTATGTCTACATCAGCGCTCTACATGAACCCCTTCCCTAAGTGCCACTCCCCCTGCCAATCCCCTGTAGCCCTGCATACTTTTCCTCTTTAGATAGTGATCCAATTCTCTTTCGAAAGCTGCAATGGAACCTGCCTCCCCCATACTCTAAGGCAGCACATTCCAGAACCTAACCTTGCTGCATGAAGATATTTTTATTTTGCTCCTGTCACCACTGCCTCTTCTGCCAATCGCCACAAACCAGCGTCGTCTGCTTTTCGATCTCTCCACTTGCGGAAGTGTTTTCTCCCTATCCCCACTGTACAAGCCTCCACGCGATTCCGGAAACCTTTATCAAATCTCCTCTTCGGCCACTCTTCCCCAAGGAAAACAGCCTCAACCTCCTGCTGCTTTTATTGACGTATACACATATACCGCACACCCCCTCCCCAGTTCACTCAGCCGTCGCGCCCTCTTTAGGAATGTAACCTTTATTCTGCATTTTTTTCCTCTTCATTCCACCAAACTCTATCATTACACATTTCTCTAACCTTAGATTCCACCGGTCACTTTTCTGCCCTGTTCCACCAGGGGGTGAAAGGCCGCGCGACCCCTTCCTCACACTCGCGGCGCTTCCGAAAGTCAATTAGCCACAAATTTTGAAACTGTGCCACGTCCAACAAATCCCTAAATATTTCCGGATGAACGGGCTTCATCAGAAGCCGCTGGGGGGCACGTCACTGTCAATCTTCCTCCAGCTGGAAGAAGTGTACACCAAGTTGCACTCCGTTCCATCCCCTAACCAATCTCATATCATCGTTGTTGCTCACCCATTTATTCCATTGTTGATATAGCACTAGCCAGAGAACAGCTGGACTACTGTGAACAGTTCTGGGCCCCTTGTCTAAGGAAAGGTCTATTGCCACTGGGCGCAGTCCAGAGTAGGTTCACTCAGCTGATCCCAGGTATGGAGGGACAATCTTATGAGGAGAGGGAGAGTAGGCTGGGCCTGTACTCACTGGAGTTAAGCTAAATGAGAGGTGACCTTAATGAAACATACAAGATTCTTAGGAGTCTTGAACAGGGGAGATGTGGAAAGCTTAATTCCTCTTGTGGGAAGAGTCTAGGACCAGAGGGCATTGTCTCAAAATAAGGGGAGGTCCCACATTTAAGACGAGATAAGGAGGAATTTCTACCCTGAGGGTAGTGAATCTGTGGAATTCCTTACCGCAGAGGGCTGTCGGGGCTGGGCAGTTAAATACATTCAAGGCTGAGAGAGACAGATTTTTGATCAGTGAGGGTGGGAAAAGGTCAGGAAAGTAGAGTTGGGGATTATCGGAGCAGGCATGATTGCATTAAATGGCAAAGTGGACTCGATGGGCTGAGTGGCCTACGTCTGATGCTCTTGGGGATTTTTTTATTTTTCAAATCTTCTCACGCCAAACAAACAGATATACCAGAATTGTTAGGTCCAGCACGATTCGAACTCCTGAGCTCTTAAAGCACTAACCCACCCCAGTCTCCTCTCACCCCTACGAATACTGTAACAAAAGCAGTTTCAGAGCAAGCCAACGTAAAATGAACTTCTGTCAACGCATTGGTCTGTGGGTAAGACAGACGCGCAGAAGTTTATAACCTTAGCCGCCCAGCAGCTCCGAGTTGCTCACCTGAGTTTGTTTGGCCGTGGTGACTCTTGCCGACGTGTCTGGCGAGGCCCCCGTGGACAGATGGTTGTTGAGTGGGTGACCCGTGGTGCCTAGCTTTAGCAAGGTGCCCGTGCCGTGTCTCCTCGTGCCCTTTGGGCTGGACTGACCGAAGAAGCAAGAGATGGGCCTCCAGCCCAGACTGTTCCTCCTGCCCGGTCTCGGCCTCCTGTCCGGGTGAGACTGAGCGGTCTCTGCGGGGATTCCGTTAGAGGGGAGACCAGCGTCCTGCGCTCGTGGGGGGACGAAACGATGCATGGAATGCGCCCTCTGCCGCTCGTACTCCAAAGAGGGGACGGAGAGATTCTGGGTCGGCTTATTCGCATCCAGTCGGCTGCATGAAGCCCTCGTCGCGGAGCTCCCGCTCTCACCCCCTCGGCCTTTCCCGTGGTGACCACGGGAGAAGATCCTGCTCCAGCGGCGCGTGGAGCTGGGGCCGGGCGGCTTCTGAGGCATCTCCTGGGCGCTGTCTTCCTCGATCCTCCTGAGCGGGCAGGGCGTCCCCCGAGGGCAGCAGGCTGCGCTTCTCCGTAGAGAGTTGGACCTGGAGACGGAGACTTTCTGCAGGTCGGCCAGCAGTTCTGTGATGTGCCCGTTGACTGGCGACTTGCTCCCGCGGACAATGGGCTGTGTAACAAGAGACAAAAGGGGGCGGGGGGGGTTCGATTACAGAAGGAAACACAGGCATCAGTCGAAGTCAAAACCCAGCGAATGGTTTGCACTAGCATATCCCATCCACAGCTCCACAAGCGTATTAAATTCAATATTAAAAAAGCTGCTATTGCCAGGCTCTAAAGTCATCGGAATACTGGAGACCCCAAGATAACGGGGCTCCGTAATGTTTGGTACGTGATGCATTCCCATGCGAAAAGCTGCCTCTGGTTCTCTTTACCTTTGCCAGAGGTCAGACACCCGCATGGTGATCCATACGACTTTCTGACTGACAGGGGAACTCCCACAGGGCTATGGCGTGGACACTCTCACCCTGTAGCATAACCCCACACAGTGTCCGATCAGAACAGTGAGCTCCTCACCCTTTCCACTATTCTAGAAGGAATCAGCAACACGCCGAGGATACGACTGGACCAGTCCAAAGCAAAAAGGACGTACGGCAGTACACAGACCGCAGTACTAGTCCCGGTTCCTCAAACACTCACCCATCCTGATACACCAGGCTTGTCGTCAGTTGTCGACCCAACGTGCATGGATCTGGTTTTAATCATTTACTTCAGCAATGATTCCGAAGCAGAACCATCCTCCTGGACTTGGTGGGGGGGGGGGTGAAAATGCAGTGATGCTAGAGCCTGTGATCCATGCTTACTCCCATCAACCAGGCCCACACTGAGCGATGAGGTGTCAGAGTCCCTGCCGCCTCCAACCCTTGCATAATCCTCCTACCACAGGCATGAAGCATGAGCAAAGCAACCTGAGTCACTGCAGAGTCCTCACAAAATCAGAGGATATATTTTACATTAAAAGTTTCGAGGATGCATGTCTTTCCTGTTAACAAGCTGCACGTCCTAGCAATGTGGGGGGTGGAGGGGGGGGGTTGTCTAGGTGGGATTCTCTTTGGAGGGTCAGTGTGGACTCGATGGGCTGAATGGCATGCAGGGAATTCTATGATTCCTCCACATCTGGAGTCAAAAATAAGGGAAAAGCTTCCCGATAGAGGAAGAATCTCATCAGCCCTTTCAGAATTAATTGACCAACACAAACATGCACAGTCACGTACAAAGACTCAAGCAGCTAGTCACACTCGCACGCATTTACTTATGTACTTGCACACTCACAGGCACAGACGCATGCACAGACACAGACCCCCTGCACATTGACTGTGCAGCCTGACACTGACTGACACTCAACGCAGATGCACTTGGACTCATGTTCCCCAAGGTTCCTACACACACACACTCAGGCATTACCATCACTGAATCCCCCACTATCAACATCCTGGGGGTTATTATTGACCAGAAACACAACTGGGATCACCTCATAAACAAAGTGGCTACAACAGCAGGTCAGAAGCTGGGAATACTGCGGCGAGGAACTCATCTCCCGACTCCTTAAAGCCTGTCAGGCACAAGTCAGGAGTGTGATCGAATACTCCCCACTTGCCTGGATGGGTGCAGCCCCAACAACACTCAAGAAGCTCGACACCATCCAGGACAAAGCAGCCCACTTGATTGAGACTACATCCACAAGCATTCACTCCCTCCACCACCGATGCTCAGTACTATCTACAAGATGCACTGCAGAAATTCACCAAAGATCCTCAGACAGCACCTTCCAAACCCACAGCCACTTCCATCAAGAAGGACAAGGGCAGCAGAAACATGGGAACACCACCCCCCTGCAAGTTCCTCCCCAAGCCACTCCCCTTTGCTAGGTCAAAATCTTGGAATTCACTCCCTAAGGGCGTTGTGGGTCAACCAACAGCACATAGACTGCTGCAGTTCAAGAAGGCAGCTCACCACCACCTTCTCAAGGGCAACTAGAGTCAGGCAATAAATGCTGGGCCCAGCCAGCGATGTCCACATCCCACGAATGAATAAAACAGACCTTTCGCACTCATGCACTCGCACATATCTACAGTCTTAGCTCACACTGTCACACACTAATACTCACACACACTGACCTAAGTATAATCATTCCCTCATGCTCACTCAATCATACAGGTGCACATAGACCCTGTGTTCACACATTGCTAAGTTCACTTGGGGCAGCCTTTCTGTTTCATAAGACAATTTTCCATGGGACAGCAACCTCATACAATCCAGACCTGCCTTTTTTTTTAAAACAAAGGACAGAAGCTCCTCATTTCTGAGGGATGATTTTGCTCATGTCTCCCTCAGAACTTCCATTCTGACAGTTCCTTCATAGCATCACCAATCTGATGTACGTGACTGAGCTAGTGCAGATAAAAGTGCCTCAGCAAAATGTGTATGCTGATGGACTTAGCATGCTCCGGGAGCTCAGGATTGATTATCTTATTCTGCCAAAAGATTATGAAGATACGTCTGAGATAGCGAACGTGGAAAGTTATTCAGACTTTGCTCTTTCCTGGCCTATGCTCTCCGGGTCTCACCCTTAGTCACAGATACACAGACACAGGCACAGACACACAAACTGAGACATACTTGCACTGACACTCACACTTTGCATACTCAAATTCACACTAACACACACACTCACTGACACACACACACATTGATATATACTTACACAAATACATATTCACACTGACACACACACGCATTGATATATACTTACACAAATACATATTCACACTGACACACACACGCATTGATAATGACACTCACACACTGACAGTAACACAGAGTGACACTCACAATAACACACACTCACAATGGTACTTACATTGACATACACACACTCACTGACACACACTCATTGATGCACACTCAAACTGATATGGGGATGCTCACTCATACACACTCACGCTGATGCACAGTCACAGACACGTACTCATACTAACACACTCACACTCATACTGACAGACATTGACGGATACACACTGACACTTACTCTGAAACTCTCTATCAATGGGAATTATAACAGTTTGGGGTTGTAAAGAAATGTGATTTTAGTGTATTGTTATAGCTTACAAAGAGTTAACTCACTGAGTTATAACACTTACAGGGAGATGCATTTGACCTTCCCACGGCAGTTAAACAGTAAGACGACTGCCTGGAGGGTAACAACAGACAGACTCACTTCCACAACCTACCCTTTAATTCTTCACCCCTTAATTCTTCCTCCTCAATGTCCATGTCCCTCATTCTCACAGCCACTCCCCTCAGCCTCTGTGCCCATCACCCATCACCTTCCTTATGCCTCACCCTCCGTGTCCCTCACCCTCATGTTCCCCCCTCACCCTCAGTTTCCCTCCCCTCAGAGACCCTCACACAGACCCCCACCCTCTGTGTCCCTCACTCTCTGCGTCCCTCACCCTCACTTCCCCCCCTCACCCTCAGTGCCCCCCACACTCTCCGTGCAAGCCCGCCTTACCTTCAGCGGAGTGAGCTCCACAGGGGTGACCCTGGATGGATCCACCAGAGGCCTCGGTCGCTTCGGGGTTTCCGCCAGCAGCCCCTGCCATTGCTGGGGCAGGCCAACAAACCTCTGGCCGTGGGGGTCGAAGGAGGTGTGCAGCCTGTGCTCAAAGTTCCGAGGAGCTGAAATCTCCAGGCGGTGGGACCTCCTCTTCTTCCACATGATCCGCCCAGGAGGAGGAAGAGACCCTGCAATGAGGAGAGGCTGAGATTGGCGGCTGACATTGGGATGGAGGAGGAGAAGCTGAGGATTTGCCAGCAATATTCCCAGGAGGTGGCGTTTCTGCACCTTCCCACCTTCGAAAGCAGCCAATTGCACGCTAAGGTGCGTGGTCTCACACACACACACACACACACACACACACACTCTCAGACACAGACACACTCTCAGACACAGACACACTCTCAGACACAGACACACACACACATATACGGCTGGTTTTTGCTTTAAAAGATGGGCAAACACATCCTCAGTGTCAGTCGGTCACCTGGCATTGAGCTGAACCCAGGTGCGACTTGAGCTGCTCGCAATGACAGCGAGAGGGGCTCCAATCCAAAAGTCAGTTCACTGCCGCCTCTCCAAAGACGTAAACCAGTTTCCTTCGCAGGAAAAGTACACCTCATTACACAAAGTTTGCAAAAAGTACGTCAACTGTTCAAATCTGCCCGCACATAAAATGTAGTGTCTCTATCAATGCATTGTGTGGCACCCTGAGGGACTCGCTCACCTTATAATTTACAGGTTACACCTACATTCCGTGACAAACTCCCTCCTGTTTGTGCAGCCTGAAGACTTTTATGTGGGTTAAAGCAACTTATGTACAAATAGAGCAGGCCCTAAGGGCAGGCCTGGCACTTTCTCCAGTGAGTCTTTGCAACCAAAGCTTTAGAACATCCCTGGCCACGGACGCCTCGGGGTCAGACTGTGCCAGTCTGGGATGCTCAGTTAGTCCCAGTGAGAAACAAACAGGTTTTGGGCTCCGCTGAGGAGCTGACAGTCCTCCGACACCAGCTTGATGTCTATCTCAGTGTTGCCCTGGCCCCTGGGTAAGAGGCTGCATCTTGACGCTGAACCGTCTCTCACCAGACTTGCTCTTGAAGACACATTCCAGGAGGAGGTGGCTCACCATCTTACCCACCTCGAGGGGCAACAGGCGGAGGGGGCGAGACTCCAGGTACGTGGGAAGAATCTGAAGGGAAGGACCCTTTCTCATCTAGAACATAGAACATAGAACAGTACAGCACAGTACAGGTCCTTCGGCCATGATGTTGTGCCGAACTTTTACCCTAATCCTAAGGTCTATATAACCTCCACCCCTACCTTATACTATCATCCGTATACCTATCTAATAGCCGCATAAATGCCCCTAATGAGGCCGACTCCACTACCCTCTCCGGCAATGCATTCCACGCCCCGACCACTCTCTGAGTAAAGAACCTACCTCTGACGTCTCCCCTATATCTACCTCCACTCACTTTAAAACTATGTCCCCTCGTAATAGCTACCTCCACCCTAGGAAAAATCTCTGACCATGGGGCATTCTGCCAAGTAACAAAACAAAGAACTGCGGACGCTGAAGATCTGAAACGCAGAAAGTGCTGGAGAGAGCACAGACAGAGAGAGAGAAAAACAGAGAGCTAACGTGTTGGAGTCCAGTGACCAGTCCAGTCTTGAAGAAGGGTCAAAACATTAACCCTCTCTCTCCTCAGATGCAGCCAGACCTGGTGAGTTTCTCCAGCACAACTTTGTTTTTGCATGATTCTGCCCGAGAGCCTGTTCAGGGGGGAGCCATCCGACAGAATCCACCATCTCCTGTGCCCCACGGGGATGGTGTATCTTGGTCACTGCCTGATGAACTAATGGTCAAAGGATTTCTTTAATTTTTACAAACCTATTCAGAAGAGACAGATGGTAGCGCCCGTTGTGGCCGAAATGAAGTTTTCCACAATAACCTGCCCTGACTATTCTTCACAACACTTGGTCAAGTAGAGGCTCAGTGTGTGCTGACATTCAGTGTAGGTAGGCAGTGTATCCATGAATTCCTTGATGCCTAAATACCAAAGGTAACCTACACCAGTAGATACAATTCTCCCTCGTTTACCCAGAGAGGTGTACATGGTCCAACTTTCGATCTGATAGATAAAGCAGATGACCACCTTGGCACAAGGCAACTATGGACTATGGGGGGGCCACATAGTGCAGGAACAGGGGGAAGAGCCTTGTACCTACTTTTTGAGTCCAACGTTGGCAAATTGAACCTGCCTACTTTTAGGGCACTCCCCGGCGCCATCTGAACCACGTCCCCAGCACCACCCGGTAATCTGACCCAACGGTTGAGAAAGGAGAGATCCGTCAGCCCCATCCCCAGAGAATGTGACCCAGCTCTGTCAGGGATTGCTGTGACCCGGAACAGTCACCCCTCTGATGCCTGACCCCTTCCTGAGGGTCTCGCCTAAAGGTTCAATACCGCACGGGCACAGGAAACCCATCGACATCCCACAGCTACCTCGACTACACCTTCTCTCACCCACCCTCCTGCAAAAACGTTACCCCATACTCCCAATTCCTCCGCCTCCGCTGCATCTGCTCCCAGGAGGCGTTCCACTCCAGGACATCCCAGATATCCTCCTACTTCAGGGATCGTATTTCGCCCCCCCCACCCTCTCTGTAATTAAGGATGCCCTCAACCGCATCTCTTCCATTTCTCACACTTCTGCCCTCAAACTCCCTCCCCGCAACGGCAATAAGGATAGAGTCCCCTTGATCCACCAACCTCTGAATCCAACCCATCATCCTCCGACATTTCCTCCACCTACAACCAGACCCCCACCATCAAAAAGATACTTTCCTCCCCAGCCCTGTCCGCTTTCCCCAGGAACCGTTCAGTCTGCGACTCCCTCATCAGCTCCACATTCCCCACCAACCCCTCCCCCCACACCCAGTACCTTTCCCTGCAACCACAAGAGGTGCAACACCCTCCTTTACACCTCCCCTCTCACCTCCATCCAAGGCCCCAAACAATCCTTCCAGATCCGGCAGAGATTCAATTGCACCTTATCCAACCTGATCTATTGTATCTGTTGCTACCGACGTGGTATCCTCTATTTCAGGGAAACCGGACGCAGACCGGTTCACGGAGCATCTGCGCGCAACAACCAACCCGACCTTCCGATTGCCATCCATTTTAATTATCCCTTCCCCTCCCCTGACAACATGTCCACCCTTGGCCTCCTCCACTATCAGAGTGAGGCCAAACGTAAACTGGAGGAACAACATCTGATATTTCGCCTCGGGAGTTTACAGCCCAACGGCCTTAACAATGACTTCAAAATCCCTGCCCTTCCAGCCTTATCACCTGTCTAGCCCAACCCCTCCTGACCTGACCTAACCTGTCCATCCACTCACCGATCCGCTCCATCCTTCCCACAGACCAATCACAATAACCCCCAATCTGCATCCACCCATCTCCATCTCTCCTACCCTTATTTCTGGACTCCCCTTCCCCCTACCCAGTCCTGACAGAGGGTTTTGGCCCACAGTGTTGACTTAGCTGCTCCTCGGATGCTATCTGCCTGGCTGAGAGCTTCCCATTCCCCGCACGTCGCGGCAGTCAGATCCAACTGTGCGATTCCCCATCCCCAAGCTCCATCTTGGTCAGCACATTCTACATGTGCCTCATCCCCTGCTCCAGTTATCCTCTGCCGCTTTTTTGCTGGTTTTCCAGTCTGGGCCTCAGAATCCTAGACAGGGACAGGCCTCTGACCCTCCATGGGCAGCTGTCACCTTTTGTGATCTGCGTGTATCCATGTGCTGGAATGGAGAGGGTTATCATAGAATCCCTACAGTGTGGAAGTAGGCCATTCAGCCCATTGAGTTCACGATGACTTTCTGAACAGCATCCTACTGAGACCTGCCACGCCATGCACCCCCCCAACCCTATCCCTGCATTTCCTATGGCTAACACACCTAGCCTGCATATCTCTGCATACTATAGGCCAATTTAGCATGGCCAACCCACCCAACCTGCACATCTTTGGACTGTGGGAGGGAACCGGAGCACCCGGAGAAAACCCACGCAGACACAGGGAGAACATGCAAACTCCACACAGATAGTCGCCCAAGGGTGGAATCGAACCCGGGTCCCTGGCGCTATGAGCCACCATGCCACCCTTGGTTGGAGGAGGGTCTGACCAAAAACCTCCAGTACATTGGTATTAATATATTCCAAGTCACTTGGTGAAATAGAAAGCAAGCCACATATTTAGCTTTCATTACGACAAGAGTTTATTGACTTGCTGAGTATTATCCCTCTCATCTTAGCACCAGTGCCACAGCTCATTGGAGCCTCAAACTGTCTTATCCAGACAGTTGTTTTAGGGGCCCTGTAGTGGAACAGTGGTAGTGTCCACTGGGCCGGGAGTCTGGGTTCAAGTCCCATCTGCTCCAGAGGTGTGTAATCAACGTTGAGTTCTCTAATTTCAAAACAACCTTCTCACTCATCCCCCAGCTCCCCTTCCAGCCCAACCTCCTCCCTTCCACACCACCTTCTAACTCTCCCTTCCAGCCACCAATCAGATTCATCCCTCCCATCGACCAACCAGGTCGTACCTACTACTGGTGTCCACCTATCACTAACATTCCAAGACAGTCCCAAACTCCAGCTCCCTTTGTACGAAGGTGCGTTTTCTAAATTCCACTCCTGAAAGGTCTGTCTCTAATTTTTAGACCATGATCCCTAGTCCTGGACTCTACAACCAGCGAAAACTGTTTCTCTACACCTACCATATATCTGCTCCCCCTTCATTGGATTCTGGAAGAATGAGAGGAGATCTCTTCTCAAAATATACAAAATGTCTTAGGGGACATGACAGGATAGATGTGGAAAGGTTATTTCTCCTTGCAGGAGAGTCTAGGATCAGAGGGCATAAATCTCAGAATGTGGGAGGCCCATTTAGAACACAGATGAGGAGAAGTACCTTCTCTCAGAAGGTAGCAATTATGTGGAATTCTTTACTGCAGAGGGCTGTCGAGGCTGAGATAGATTTTTGGATAGTATGGGACAATGCAGGAAAGTGGAGTTGAGGACTATCAGATGAGGCATGATCTCATTGAATGGCAGAGCAGACTCAATAGGCTACTATTGCTTCCAAGTCTTTTGGTCTCGTGTTCTTATGTTAACCT